ATCTTAAAGACTCTTCCAGTGCAATAGGGTCCAGATCAATGCCTTAAAGTTTCCAAAGACATGTTTCTGGTTTTATTTAAAATTTTATTTTCCCCCATCCAATGTTTCTTTCCCTGATTAAATTGTCACATCTCCTTCTGTCGTACAAACTTGCCTTCCCTGTGATGCCTGACAATGGACCTAGCAGAAACTCTCAGGAGCTTCCCCATCCACCAGTGGCACTCTTCAGCCGAACAGTAGTCTTCCATCAGTGCATTTTTTAGGACTGAGTCTTTTTAATTAGACCTGCTCTGCCACTTTGCTTAGTTGTGTTAGGATCATTTCCGTGAGGACAGGGACTCTGAGTCCCTTGCGCACTGCCGTATCTCCATCACCTAGAGTAGAGTAGACATTCCATAAACAGTTACTTATAAATGAATTCTTCCCCTGAAAATAGGTGAACCTGAGGCCTCCTTGTAATCTTTTAGAATTTAGTTTCTAATAAATATTCTATAAAAATTACTTAAAACAAGAATAAACTAGCCAGGTGGTAGTGGTGGTTGTGGTGGTGGTGCATGCCTTTAATCCCATCACTTGGAAGGTAGAGGCAGGCATAGATCTCTGTGAATTTGTGGCTGCCTGGTCTACAGAGTGAGTTCCAGGACAGCCAATGTTACACAGTGAAACCCTATCTGGAAAACAAAACAACCCCCCCCCCAAATCATCTAAATTTATGTATAAGAGACCATCTGAAAAAAACTAAATTTGATAGTCCACTTCCTGTTTTACCCTGTTTTGCACCCTGAAGCAATGAAGATCTTTGTCCTGCTGAGAGGGCTCTTTGTACTTTCTGTACTGATTAATGGTCTTGATTATTTGTCACAGACTGATCTGAGTTCTGGCCCCAGGTCAGAACATCTTACGTGGATGAGGTACTACCCAAGGTTTATTAATTATATCCAGGGACAGGCTTTTGCTATAAAGAAAATTCTGCCTGACTTCTTTGAGTGTGGCTTTAGGAAATATTTTTTTTTCAGAATTGGGACATGCTCATTGAAAGTTTAATCTCATATGGATCAGGGTTTTTTTTAATCATTATTTTTGTGTTGGATGTTTGTGCATGACACAGCATCGTTTGTGAAACTTTTTTTTTTTTTTTTGGTTTTTCGAGACAGGGTTTGCCTGTGTAGCTTTGCACCTTTCCTGGAGCTCACTTGGTAGCCCAGGCTGGCCTCGAACTCACAGAGATCCGCCTGGCTCTGCCTCCCAAGTGCTGGGATTAAAGGCGTGTACCACCAATGCCCGGCTTCGTTTGTGAAACTTTATGGAGTCAGTCCTGCTGTGAAATAATCCTTCTGTACACTGTGAAAATGTGTTGCTCTCATTGTCAATAAAAAGCTGATTGGCCGATAGCTAGGCAGGATTTTTGGGACAGAAAGAATGCTGGAAAGAAGGGTAGAGTCTGAGGAGTCATGAGAGATGTAGAGAGAAGCAAGATGTATGTGCTATGTTGAAAGAATGTACCACCACATGGCAGAGGGTAGATAAGAAATATGGGTTAATTTAAAATGTTAAGAATTAGCTAGTAACAGGCCTGAGATATTGGCCAAGCATTTATAATTGATAGTAAGTCTCTGTGTTGGTTATTTGGGAATTGGCAGGTGGGAAAAAAAGTCTGCCTAAACAGTCCCTTGTTTTTATGTGGGTTCTGAGGGTCCAACTCAGGCTTGGGTGGCAAGTACTTTTGCCCTCTGAGTCATCTCAGCAGGTTTGAATCAGTGACCTTTAAATATTAGTGACTATGCATCTGCTGGCAATTCCTCCAGACTCCACCCTCCTCCTTCCCAGCAGCTTCCTAGTCTGACTCTCCTGCCCAATCTCTTTCTGCCCAGCTATAGACAGTGTAGGTGGAGTTTTCCTGTTCTGGCCACCTGCTCCCAAATAACGGACTTAATATTAATTACAAATGCTTGGCCAATAACTCAGGTTTGTTACAAACTAGCTCTTACAACTTAACCCGTTTCTATTATATATGCTGCCCCAAGGCTCGTGACTTTTACCTCTATCCCAGTTTCTTTCTTTCTTTTTTTTTTTTGGTTTTTTTCAAGACAGGGTTTTTCTGTGTAGCTTTGCACCTTTCCTGGAACTTGCTTTGGAGACCAGGCTGGCCTTGAACTTAGAGAGATCCGCCTGGCTCTGCCTCCTGAGTGCTGGGATTAAAGGCGTGTGCCACCACCGCCCGGCTCTATCCCAGTTTCTATGTCTGACTCATTCTCTGACAGGCTTGTGACTCCTGACTCTGCCCTTCTTCATCCTATGATTCTCAGTTTGGCTTTCTGGCCTAACTTTATCCTGTTCAGCTCTTGGCCATTCAGCTTGTTTTACTAAGCCAATCATAGTGATATATATTCACACAGTATACAGGATTATTCCACAGCAGACCAGTCAGTTCTTTATTAACCAATGAGAGTAATACATATTCACAGTGTACAGAGACTGAAAACATGCTATGAAACAACACAGAAGAGAGTGTTGTAGAATATTATATTAAGGTGTGTTAGATTTGTTTATGCTCTGGAACATTTATTTAATGATGCAAAGATGTGTTGCATTCCTTTATGTTGCATTGGTTTAACTTTGTTTAGCTGTGTTTCTTTGCCTGTCTAAAACACCTGATGGTCTAATAAAGAGCTGAACAGCCAATAGCAAGGCAGATGGGGATGGGGTGGGGGCTGGCAGGCAGAGAGAATAAATAGAAGGAGAAATCTGGGAGAAAGAAAGAGCAAGAGAACAAGGAGAGGAGGACGCTAGGGGTCAGCCACCCAGCCAGCCACAGTGTAGGAGTGAAAGTAAGAATGCAGAAGTAGGAAAAGGAAAAAGCCCAGAGGCAAAGGCTAGATGGGATAATTTAAAGTTTAAGAAAAGCTGGCAAGAAATAAGCCAAGCTAAGGCCAGACATTTATAATTAAGAATAAGCGGACTGGAGAGATGGCTCAGCGGTTAAGAGTGCTGACTCTTCTTCCAGAGGGCCTGAGTTCAATTCCCAGCACCTACATGGCAGCTCACACCTGTCTATAACTCCAGTTTCAGGGGATCCCCACACCCATGGCAAAAACACAAATACACATAAATATATATATATAAAAGAATAAGCCTCTGTGTGTGTATTTATTTGGGAGCTGGGTGGTGTGCTCCCCCAAATGAGCAAAGAATAAAGAGCAAAACAAAGAAGAGAGAACAAGAACATGCTATGGCCCAGGCAAAGTAGTGAATGCCTTTAATCCCAGCATTCAGAAGGCAGGGCAGGTGGATCCTGAGTTCAAGGCCAGCCTGGTCTACATAGAGAATTCTCAGGGAGCAAGGGCTACATAGACCTTGTCTCAATAAAAAGAAAACACTCTACCAAGCCACACAGGGAAAGCATCTGGGAAGGGAAAACCCAACGTCTTTTTTGTAGCCTAGGTTGGGATGACAAAAAATCACACACCATCAGGTATGGTTTATGTGGTAATGGGGATCCAACCTAGGCTTTGTGCAGGCTAGGGAAGCATTCTAACACTGCACTACGTTCTCAGCCGTTAAAAATACATCTGTGTGTTTGTTTTTTAATTTAGAGGGCTGAAGAGTTGGCTCAGTAGGTAAGAACCCTTGCTACTCTTGCAGAGGACAGGCGTTTAGTTCTCAGCACTCACATGGAATTAATGTCTGTTACTGTAATGTCATTTCCAGGGGATGTGTTGCCCTTTTGTGGCTTCCACTGTACTGCATGTACATGGTACCTTACATACATGCAAGGGAAACACTCACATAAAATACAAACAAATAGGCCAGCTGTAGCAGCACACACCTTTAATCCCAGCACTTGCGAGGCAGAGGCAGGCAGATCTCTATGAGTTTAAGGCCAGCTTGGTGTACAGAGTGAGTTCCAGGATGGCCGGGTCTGTTACACAGAGAAAACCCATCTTGAGAAAAAATAAATAAATTTTAGTTGAAGGGGCACACCTGCCCCTTCAGCACATGTATGTAGGTCAGAAGAGAACTTCGTGGAGTTGGTTCTCTCCTTCCGTCTTTATGTGGGTTTCAGGATGGAACTCAAGTTGCCAGGGTTGTGCTACAAGCACCTTTACACACTTGAGCCGTTTTCACAGTTCTTGTACTTGTTTTCTTTGAGACAGGCTCTAACTGCCTCTGTGAACTCAAACTCACCGAGATGCTCCCAAATGTTGGTATCAAAGGTGTGCACCACCACAGGCTGTGCACCACATGTGGGCTTTTGTTTTGGTTTGTCTTTGTTTTAGATTGAGTTACAGCAATCTACCTGTCTTGCCCATTTCCCCTACCCTACCTGTGGGATAACAAGTGTGGGCCACTATGCCCTACTGAGATTTCTTAGCATCAAATGAATTTAGAAACTAACCAGTGCACACTTGGGAGACAGGCAGGCAAATCTCTGTGAGTTGGAGGCCAGCCTGGTCTACATAGTGAGAACCTGTCTCAAAAACAACTACAAAACGTTACCAGAAGACTTGTCTTAGGCTGAGTATAGGCATTCAGTGACTGTCCTCTTGCCATTTGGGAGAATTCATCCAGGATTGAATTATGTCTATATGCTTAGTTCATAGCACACAAAATATATTCAGTAACTCTTTGCAAAATGTTTTATCTTTCAGGGTTTTTGTTGTTGTTGTTGTTTGTTTGTTTGTTTTTTCCATAAGCAAGAGGAGCTCCAGACCATCCTGTGTGAGTCTGAGGCCAGCCTGGGATACATGATACACCGCCCCCTTTAAAAACAAACAAGCACCTGTCCTTCCTAATTCAGTTGTGTTAATTCTTCAGGGCATGCATAAACCCAGGAAGTGACTCTGAAACACAAACACGTAAATTGTGCATTTTAGGAGACAGTCCTTTGAAGAGTGTCTAGAAAAACCTGATATTCTAACAACTTTCCGGGTTTGGGAAGGTCTTGGGTTTTCCCAAGATCGTTTCTGAGCATGAGCGGAAGTCACTCGTTGAGCAGTCTCCGGCAGTTTAATGATAGGTGCCATATTCTGGACAGAGTAACACACCTTTATTCTGTTTTTCCGGACGTTCACGCCAGTGAGTCAATTTTATTTCCTTACCAAAAAAAATAAATAAAGCGTGCATTCAGAGACGGATTTAAAGCAACACAACGCTTCATCTTCCCATAGTAAAGATGGCCAAGCCCTGAGTAAGTAACAAGGAACTCCACTTCCGCATTTTTCTTGTGCCCTGGTCCAAGATGGCGGATGAGGCCACCCGGCGGGTCGTGTCTGAGATCCCGGTGCTGAAGACTAACGCCGGACCCCGAGATCGAGAATTGTGGGTGCAGCGACTAAAAGAGGAATATCAGTCCCTTATCCGGGTCAGTTTTACTCCTGTGGTTGACCTCGTAGCAAAGGGGTGGCGGGTAATAAGGTGTCCTCAGGAATTGGCGCCGTGTGGAAGCTGCTTCCGGTTTTTAAGTTTATAAATTCTTATAAATATGACTATTTGGGGGCTGGGGGATTACGGGTGGACGGAGGGAGGATGCAGAGGAGATTCTGGTTAGAAGCACAGTAGGGCTGGACTTTGAAGGAAAAAAACAGCAGTATTCCTGGAAGGTGACGTGTCTCTCCCGCCCCAGGTGTTTGCTCTGCTGAATGTCGGAGTAGGGGGTCAAAAGCAATTCTTAGAGCCCAAAGTCTCTGCCCATCACTGACCTTCTTTCATCCTTCGTGATGAAATGAATGGAATGATTGAAAGGAATGAATGTCAGAACTGAAAACTTAAGGTGTTAGATGTAGAGAGTTAGAGATTGGTGCTTCTAGTTATAAATTAGCTACCTTTTCAGCTGATCTTTCTCTTGTAGGAAGAGAAAGATTACACTCTTTATGATGGTTTCCAGCAGATCTCCTGCCTTATATATTGCTTCACTGAGAAATTGGTTGAGTGCTTACTTAGCATGCAAGAAGTCCTGGCTTCTACCCCTAGCACCTCATAAACTGATGTGGCTCATGCATTCTCAGCACTCAGGACATGGAGGCAGAAGGATTGGAAATTCAGGTCATTCTGAATTCAAAGGCAGTCTGGACTACATGAGATTCTGCCTCAAACACAACAACAATAAAACATATTATTGTGTTCCTAGTACCTAGGAAGGGTACATATATAAAGCCAAATAAGAAGGGTCCTTCTGAGGTTGACAGAAACGGTATTGTACTGTGTTTAAGTGGAGAGACAGAATCGTAACTAGGATATTTTGAGAGTATGAGGAGAGATGTATAATTCAACTTTAAGTTAAGGCTTCTTAGAAGTGGTAAAACTTGAATTGAAACTTAAAGTATAAACACAGGGACCAGAGAGAGATGGCTCAGTTTATAAACTGTAGCATGTGCTACTAAGCCTGACAACCTGAGTTGATCCCTAGAGCCCACATAGCAGAAGGAGAGAACTGACTCCTTTGGGTGTCCTCTGATTACCACATGCACACCTTGGCATGGGTACACACACACACACACACACACACACACACACACACACACACACTATATATATATATATAAATATAATATATATATATATTATATATATATATATTAGCATATAAAACATAAGGGTAGGAAAAAAGATACTCAAGACGTAAGGACAGGGGCTGGAGATATGGCTCACTTACTGCCCTTGCAGAGGAACTGGTTTGGTTCCCAGCACTTACATGGTGGCTCACAATCATCCATAATTCCAGTTTTAGGGGATCTGGTGCCATCTTCTAGTCTCTTCAGGCACCAGGTTTACATGTGGTGTACATACAGGCAGAAAAAAAAAATCATTCACACACATAAATATTTTTGGAAGTTTTTTTTTTTCTCTTGTAAAACCATATAAGGACAGCCTGAGCAAAGGAATGCAAGCTAGAAACAGCATGGGATAAGAACTTGTAATTGCAGCAGATGAGATGCTAAGGCAGAAAGACCATAGGTTTGAGGCCAGCCTGGACAGTTCCAAAGCCTTCTTGGGTTACAGAGTGAGTTCAAGGCCAGCCTGAGCAATTTAGTGAGACTCTATCAAGGAAAAAAAAAAAAAAAAAGAGTAAAAATTGGGCCAGGACTAAGGCTGGGTGTTATGGTGCATACCTATAAACCTAGTGCAGGGGAGGCAGAGGCAGGAGAGAATTTCAGTGAGTTTAGTGCCAGCCCTGGCCACAGAGAGACCCTGTAACAGACAAACAGCAGAAACTGAAATCAGCAGGACATCATGAAATACTATCAGGGAAAAGGAAGGGGAAGGGCAAGGATGAAGGCTGGTCTTTTGGTTTAGTGACTGAGTGAGACTGCCACCTGAAACTGAGAATGTGTGTAGTGGTTATCCCAGCACTTAGGGGGAGCAGGAGGATCAAAAAGTTCAAGATCATTCTTAGTCACATAAGGTAGGTTGAGGCTAGCCTGGACAGGAGTCCCTGAAGAGGAAGAGGGGCGGGACACAGTATGAAATCCAGATGGAAGTGCTAAGTTTCTGTTTTCTGTTAGATAAAGGTGTAAATTGAAGTCGGATGATAGTGGCGCCTGTCTTTAGTCCTAGCACTAGGGAGACAGAGGCAGGTAGATCTCTGTGAGTTCAAGGCCAGCCTGATCTACAGAACAAGTTCCAGGACAGCCAGGGTTACACAGAGAAACTCTGTCTTGAAAAACAAAACAACAACAAAAAAGGTATAAATTGAAACATTCTGTTGGATACTAGAATCAGAAATTCTGACAAAAGACTTGAACTAAAGATAAAGATTGGAGAGTCACTAACTTGTGGCTGCTAATGAAAACTACCACAAGATCCTCCAGGAATAATGTGTATGGCTAAGTGAGTTTGAGGCTGAGGACAGACACTATCAGAAGTGAGAAAATAACCCTGAGTCTCCAAATATTTTGTGCTTGCTGTATTGTAGGGAACTTAGACATTTTGTTCTCTGCTCTGGGAGAGCACTGAGCTTACTTGTGTAGCCTTTTCTTTCATTTTGCTTATGTCTGAAAAATTGTGAATAGTATACTAAAAAAGAAAATAAAAATAATCACACTTTTTTTTTCTCGAGACAGAGTTTCTCTGTGTAGCTTTGCGCCTTTCCTGGATCTCGCTTTGTAGACCAGGCTGGCCTCAAACTCACAAAGATCCTCCTGCCTCTGCCTCCCGAGTGCTGGGATTAAAGGTGCGCACTACCACCGCCCAGCTAATAATTGCACTTTTGAAGAGGGGCTAGCCTTGGCTCCAGCTCCCTTTTCTATTGCTTTTCTTTTCTTTTCTTTTTTTTTTTTTTTGTAGTCCTGGCTGTCCTGGAACTCGCTCTATATAGACCAGGCTGGCCTCGAACTCAGAGTTCCTCCTACCTCTGCCTCCCAAGTGCTGGCATCAAAGATGTGCACCACCACCACCTAGTTCCAGCTCCCTTTTCTAAGATTCCGTTTTCTGCTTTCAGTATGTGGAGAACAACAAGAATTCAGACAATGATTGGTTCCGACTGGAGTCTAACAAGGAAGGGACCCGGTAAGTAGGCCCTCTTAGGAGGTCTGGGTAGATTCCTCACCTAGCTGAAGCAATTTGGTATTCCGTAACTAACCCAAAGTTGCCATGCATCAGTTTAGGATTCCCTAATTCCTGACCTATGAGTCTTCCAGCTTGTCGTCCTAAATAAAGATGCCATTTGAGTATGATGGGAATGGGCTGACTGGACTGAGGTTTGGTCTTTGTTACAGGTGGTTTGGAAAATGCTGGTACATCCATGACTTACTCAAATATGAGTTTGACATCGAGTTTGAAGTGAGTGTGATAGAATGGGAAGTATGAAGGTTAGTAGAAAGGGATTGATTAGATGATTGTTATCAAGCTAAACTTTCTTGAAGGGACTAAATAGAACTTCTAAAATGGGAGGGGGAAAAAGCTGAGGTTCGAAGCAGACATGTAACAGTTACCAATCTCTATGTCTAGAATCCCAACATGTTCATGCTGCTTGGGGGACCTGCTGAAGAAGCAGTTCAACCAAGAAATATATATGTTCAGTTAGACAAGTTCATTTCTCTCTCGATTCTCTGTTTTATGAAGGCTTTGTAATTCCTCCAGATTCCTATCACGTATCCCACTACTGCTCCAGAAATTGCAGTCCCTGAGCTGGATGGAAAGACAGCAAAGATGTACAGGTAGGACTGAGGAGATGAGAAAGAGCAAAGAAAGCCTAAGGGAGGAGCTCAAGAGACAGGTTTCCCCAGAGGGTGCCGCTCCAGAGTCTAGAGGGAGTCTAGGTTTGCCTATGCTAAGTGCTTAGCTGACCTTTTTCTCAGTTCTGAGCACTAATCTTTTTTTTTTTTGGTTTTTCGAGACAGGGTTTCTCTGTGTAGCTTTGCGCCTTTCCTGGAACTCACTTGGTAGTCCAGGCTGGCCTCGAACTCACAGAGATCCGATCACTAATCTTCCTGTGTTCCCAAGAGGTTGCTATACATTATGGCTAGTTTTGTGTGTCAACACCTTCCTCTTGTCCTTTTCATAGGGGTGGCAAAATATGTCTGACTGATCATTTCAAACCTTTGTGGGCCAGGAATGTGCCCAAGTTTGGACTAGCTCATCTCATGGCACTAGGGGTAAGTTTGTTATTCTTGGTGTATGAGAGGAAGAGGGAGGGTTCATGGCCTAAGCAGTACCAGAAATGTAGCTGAGACTAAGGGAGTAACAGTGTTGTGCCTTGGGCATGTTCTCCTAGAGTCTCTGGGAAGAAGGTTCAGGTGGAACAAGAGGCATTGACTACGGTAGTAACCTCACAGATTTCCCTTGTGTTGCAGCTGGGTCCTTGGCTGGCAGTGGAAGTCCCTGATCTGATTCAGAAGGGTGTAATCCAGCACAAAGAAAAATGCAACCAATGAAGGATCAAGCCACTGAGGCAGGACAGAGGGATTTTTGATAGGCTGTATTCCTGTTTTCTTGTGAAACGTTCTTCTTACTCATGATTTTTTGATGGGTCACCTCTGGTTGTTACAAAGTAGCTGGAGTGGGGGGAAAAAACCCAAAAACCCAACAATAGGGTAAGGTCACAAAGTTTCTAAGTTAAGCTGTACAGGGAGGTGAAAGACTTGGGCCTTGAAATAGGCAATTTGTATCCCTTCTCCAAGTGGAACCCTGGAGGCATCTTGGAGGCATAGGCGTTAACTGACAGCTCATAGCTTTTTTTGGTTTCTGGAAACAACCTGTCAATAAAAGCTGCTTCCGATGTATGTAGCCTGTGGTTCTCACTGATGGCTGTTAACAAGGTGAACAAGCAAAATATGGAGGAACATGAACAACTATGCTAGGTTGGGAGGGGGACATGAACGTCCTCTCAACACCTAACAAATGGGAGAAAATCCATTTCTTTCCCTGTTGTTATTTGCTTTTGCCGTTTAGCAGTGAGCCATGCTTTCCTTACTGCCTGAGCCTGCAAAGGAGCTTGAAGAATGGGTTTTACAGGTTCAGCGTTCTGTGCCCACTAGGGATCTTACATCCCTAGATGGAGTGCTAAATGCTTCTCTATTGGTTTTCGGGTTGGACCTGGACCTGCACCTGCATGCAGCTTTCCACGATGCATCCCTCTTGTTTGGAAAGAATCTCTGTTGCAAGCCCTTCCGTTATTCGGTGTTTCGGCTCTTCATCCCTATGGACCACATGAGAGGATGAGGGGCCTTGCCCTCAGGGACTTGCAGTAATGTTTAAAGACCACCACCCGGCAGGGACGGGGAACTAGTGGTTCTAAAGTTGGCTGCGTTTCCATGGTGTCGGTCTGGGAGCCGTGGGGGCGGGCTCACGCAAGCGCCGAGGGGGTGGGTGGGAGGATTCCGAGTGTGGGCGCGCAGGCGCCTTAAGAGACTGTGAAGCCGGTGGCCGGTGGCCGGGCGGCACCAACAAAGATGGCGGTGGCCCTTGCGGCGGGAGCAAGCTGGGCAACAGCTGGGGTTAAAGCTGCAGCCCGGCCCGCGGGGAGGCTGTTCGGGGTTATGAGGGGGTGGCCCTGAGCTGGAGCTGGACCCCGGCTGGCCTCCCCCGCCGCCTCACCGGGGGGCAGGTATGGGCCGGGACGTTATGGCGGGGTGGGGTGGGGGAGCTGAGGGAGGACGGATCCAGACCCCAGAGGACGTTCACCACAAAGGGAGAGGCTCGCGGTGCCCAGCCGGGCCTGGGAGAACTGGACTGGAAGAACAGCATTCTCGGACCGCGGGGAATATGCCGCCGGACCCCATAGCCAATCAGCGGCCTCGGCCTTTCTGCCCTCGAGGGGGGCGGACCCGGGTAAAATCCCACTGTGGTGGGAGAGGTGCAGAAATTAGGGGTCAAATAGTTCGTCCTCCAGCTCAAACCATTGCCCCTTGAGCCCCAATACCAAGTGGGAGCCCAGAACTGGAGGAGGGAGTGGATTGCAAATCACCCATTTAATCGGCTTCATTTGCAACCCAGAGGGGCAAGGGTTGAGGTTGGAAATGATGTCTTTTGGACTGATTCCTGCATCTATGGTCCCAGGTCTGGGGCATATCTCACTTGACTAGCCAGCTATGAGGATTTTTAGGAGTTTGTAGATTATAAGAACAGCTGAGATTGGGACTACCACTGGCTCTTCAGTAAATCTGTATTCTGTAGAGGGGGTGGGGCGTGAAAGGTCAAAATGATGAGCTACTATTCAGTCGTTAGTTTATTCAAGGGATACTAAATATTTTCTTTGTGTCAAACATTGCTAAGTTCTGGGGATACAAGAACTGATTGTATAGACGTGATTCATGCCCTTGGTACATGTAGAAGCCAGCTTGCATGGTAGCCTATATCTTCTCTGTCTTTCTAATTCAAATGCTGACCCTCTGTTCTTCTCAGGTCCAGCCTGCGGTGTCCACAATGCCCCAGGCTTCTGAGCACCGGTTGGGCCGGACTCGAGAGCCACCTGTCAGTGTACAGCCCCGAGTGGGAGCCAAGATACCATTTCCTCCCCGGGCCCGCAGCAAGGAGCGCCGAAACCCAGTTCCTGGGCCGAACTCCATGTTACGACCTTTGCCTCCCAGGCCAGGTCCCCCAGATGAAAGGCTCAAGAAACTGGAGCTGGGTCGGGGTCGGACCTCAAGCTCTCGTCCTAGAGGCCCCCTTCGAGCAGATCATGGGGTTCCCTTGCCTGGCTCACCACCTCCAACTGTGGCTCTGCCTCTCCCATCCCGGACCAACTTAGCCCGTTCCAAGTCTGTGAGCAGTGGGGACTTGCGTCCAATGGGCATTGCCTTGGGAGGGCACCGTGGCACTGGCGAGCTAGGGGCTGCACTGAGCCGCTTGGCACTCCGGCCTGAACCACCCACTCTGAGACGTAGCACTTCTCTCCGGCGTCTTGGGGGCTTCCCTGGCCCCCCTACCCTGCTCAGCATACGGACAGAGCCCCCTACTTCCCATGGCTCCTTCCACATGATATCTGCCCGGCCCTCTGAGCCTTTCTACTCTGAGGACAAGATGGTGAGGACTTGCCAGCACATGTGGTCTCCCTTGCTCATGTTCCTCTTGCCCTAAACTCTCTTGTCCCGATATGGCTTTCCTGTTCCCCTCTCCAAGTCCCTTTGACAACCCCTCATTACACCAGTGGACTCTTCTCCTTTCTGGGGCCTTCTAGATATTATTTTGGGTTGTATGTGATTCTCCAACTTGGTGTGCCATTCTGGTCCCTAGGGAATTAACCGAACTATTTAGAATTCTTCTTCGGGTCCTTAGGCCCGCCCTTTTAAGGCAACTTCTCTCCTAGGACTGGGCCTAGACCTAATTAATCCCCGGGCTGAGGAGAGGCGGGGTTCGGGCACCTGGGCTGAGGAGGGGCGGGGTTCGGGCACCTACTGATGTGGTTACCCATTTCCTGAGCTAAGCGAGCTAAGCTGCTTGCAGTTGGAGCCAGCAGGAGAGGGTGCAAGAAGGGGCCACGGGGGCAGGAGGGGGATTTGGGGGCAGTAAAGTGGGGGTGGGGAGCAGCTGGGCAACCATGCCGGTGCTCGGGGAGTTGCCTCAGGAGCTGCAGCGCCGGCTAGCTGGGCAGCGGAGTAAATGGGGAATAGGTGTGACAGCCATGGCCGAGTCTGTGGTACACTCAGCTGTGATGGGTTTACTACTCATGACTAATGAGGTAGGAAGACCAGTGAGGGAAAGAGGGTCGAGTTGGGGCACAAATAAGGGGGAGAGACATTCAGCAGCATGCTACTGAAAGTGGCAGGTAGAATGTGACCGTACTCTGACCTTCTAGGCTCATCACACACTGCTTCTGGGCTCTGGTCATGTTGGTCTCCGCAATCTGGGAAATACAGTAAGAGCCATTTTCCTGTCCTTTCTCTGTAAAAGGAATGTTAAATGGTGTTGGGGGTGGAGATAACCTGTGGATCTGGGGAAGGCACGGAGGAGAGCACTGAAGCTCGCTCTCTTAAGGCTTGTGGGCACAGACTGGAAAGGTAATGACAGCCCCTGCTGCTTCCCCAGTGTTTCCTGAATGCTGTGCTACAGTGTTTGAGCAGCACAAGGCCTCTTCGAGACTTTTGTCTTCGAAGGGACTTCCGGCAAGAGGTGCCCGGAGGAGGCCGAGCCCAGGAGCTCACGGAAGGTGGGCAACAACTCCTGATCTTCTGTTCTCTTCCCCCAACCCCTTCAGTTCTGTCCCCCCCGAGGCGTATGGTTCCCAGGCCTTCAGCCTGACAGTCACACCCATTTTCCCAGTTCCTCCATTCTGAGAGGTTTTCTAGCCACTGAATCTCCTCCTGCCTGCTCTTCTAGACACTAATCTTTGTATCCCTTCCCCACTTGTCCCATCAACAGCCTTTGCAGATGTGATTGGTGCCCTCTGGCACCCTGACTCCTGTGAAGCTGTGAATCCTACTCGATTCCGGGCTGTCTTCCAGAAATACGTTCCCTCCTTCTCTGGATACAGGTGGGGAAACGGAGGATAGGCTTTCTCTCTGACCAAGTCTGGGGCTGGGGCCAAGCAGGGGTACAGCACCCTTGTTCTGAGCCTTGAGATTTTCTACACTGAGGGAGTAGGGACCCATATTTGGGCAGGGGATACTGTGTGTGGACTAAGAGGGGATCGGTTGTCCATATTCTGTCTGGCTGTAGCCAGCAGGATGCCCAAGAGTTCCTGAAGCTCCTCATGGAGCGGTTGCATCTTGAAATCAACCGACGAGGCCGCCGGGCACCTCCGATCCTGGCCAGTGGTCCAGTTCCCTCTCCACCTCGCCGAGGAGGGGCTCTGCATGAAGAACCTGAATTAAGGTAAGGCTTGCTCCCCCTTGCTCTTCTCTCCAGTAGTTCTGTCAGTAGCACTCAGTCTTCACAGAACTGAGCTAACTGAAACTGGAAATGTAGTACCTAGGGGAGACCCTTTAGCATAGAAAAAAAAATGGCTTGGAAGTACAAGAAGGACAGAAGGGAGGAGGAGGGGGGAAGTGGAAGGATGCAGATAGAGGTATAAAATAGTGTTAGGGGTCACTAAATTGGGAAAGGAGGGACCTTTTATGATGCAATATACCAATGGGGCTTCTAGAGGAAGGATGACATTCTTCCTTTATATATATTTTTTTCTCTCATCTTGGATTTCCCCAGAAAGTTTCTAGAAAAAAATTACTCCTTTGAGTAGAAGTTTAGGGAATGGGCTGGTATGTGGATAGGGAACAGGGCTCTGTGGATAATTTCAATGGCTTGGGGGTACCCAGTATTACAGCCTTCTCATGGGCGCCCCCTCCCTTCCCTTCATCTGTTAGTGATGATGACCGAGCCAACTTAATGTGGAAGCGCTACCTGGAGCGAGAAGACAGCAAAATTGTGGGTATGTAATAGGGCAAAGCAAGTGGGGGTTTGGGCTCAGGAGAAGAAAGAGAGAGAGCTAAGCTGGATGATGAGGATGTGAAATGGTGTGGAGAGTTGGGTGGCAGTGTTGAAGTTAGAAAGGCAGATCCAGCAAAGGAGTGGGAAGAGACAGGATTCCCAGAAAGCACCTTAAGCACCCAACAGTGACTTTCTCCCCTGCCTTTTTGCTTCTATCTAGACTTATTTGTGGGCCAGTTGAAAAGTTGCCTCAAGTGCCAGGCCTGTGGGTATCGCTCCACGACCTTCGAGGTTTTTTGTGACCTGTCCCTGCCCATTCCCAAGGTGGGATTCCAGAGGATTCCGGGGGTGGATGGAACATGGGTTCTGTGACCCACCCCTACGTGTGGGTGGGAACTATGTGGATCTCTAAGCAGAATTGAAGCCTGGATTATAAAAAGATAAAAGATTTTTTTTAAAAAAAGGGGGGGTGGGGAATTCAGAACCTGCTGACCCTTACTTCCCCTTTCCCCCCAGAAAGGATTTGCTGGGGGCAAAGTGTCTCTGCGAGATTGTTTCAGCCTTTTCACCAAGGAAGAAGAGCTAGAGTCAGAAAATGCTCCAGTATGTGGGGGTTTACAATGGTGGGGGACCTGGGGGAGTCTGTCCGGAAAAAAGATGCATGCTTCCTCAGTATGGGAATAACATGACATGTCTGGGTGTGTGTTAGGGTCTCAGATGTGTCATAGTATGCCTGCGCTAAAGGGGAAGGGCAAAGCAATGAGAAACATACTAAATTTATATGTGAATTGGGGTGTCAGAAAAACCAGCTGAGGCGAGAGCACATTGACCTAACACTATTTGCTGTTTATTTAGGTGTGTGACCGATGCCGGCAGAAAACACGAAGTACCAAAAAGTTGACAGTACAAAGATTCCCCCGAATCCTCGTGCTCCATATCCTAATCTTCAAGTTCTTATTTCTCTTAGGATATCTCCCATACATTCTGTTTCCTCACCTTCCTTGAGTTTTCCTTGGGAAAAACCTGCCACCCCAACTTTCTCTCTGCCATCTTTCAGGACCTGTTGGGGGAATGGAGGGTACTGAATTTATCCCTGCAGCTCCCTTAGAGACCCTCAGCCCCCTCCTCCCCCAAATGCTCCTTAACCAGGGCTTAGATCTGAATCGATTTTCCACCTCCCGAGGCTCCATCAAGAAGAGTTCAGTAGGTGTAGACTTCCCATTGCAGCGACTGAGCCTAGGGGACTTTGCCAGTGACAAGGCGGGTGAGTCCGGTGGGCAATGTCCTAAGGACCCTTCAGGAGGGGGACACAGCTCTTGGGTGTAGAAACTGAGCCGCTCTAACCCGCAGGAAGCCCCGTGTACCAGCTCTACGCCCTCTGCAACCACTCCGGGAGTGTCCACTACGGGCACTACACAGCCCTGTGCCGCTGCCAGACTGGTTGGCATGTCTACAATGACTCCCGGTGAGCACGGCCTCTTCGTCAACCCTTGCCCCATCCCACTGCAGCGCTGGCGCCTTCCCCTCTGACAATGCCCCAAAAGATGAGGTCCTGACAAAGGGATAGGTGGAGTCTCTCTCCTGAGCTCTACCCCGGGTACCCTGAGGTGTGGAGTCTTGTGGGAAGGAGGAGGGGGAATACACAGGCGTGACTACAGCCATTCCCCATGTCCTTTTCAGTGTCTCCCCTGTCAGTGAAAATCAGGTGGCATCCAGTGAAGGCTACGTGTTGTTCTACCAACTGACGCAGGAGCCACCTCGGTGCCTGTGACACCGTCTTGAAGCCCTGGCACCTGTGAAGACCTTTTCAACACCCTTAAGCCCCCAGGCTCCCCATTTACCTCAGAGACGTCTATTTTTGTGTCTTTTTAATCGGGGAGGGAGGGTGGTTGTAGCTCCCATTATTTTTTTTATTAAGAAGCACTCTTCCACCTTGTTTCCTGCTCCATGTACAGAGCTCATCAGGCCCTTGACCATGTACAGCCCCCAGAACCTCTGCAATCTCACTTTTTGTGAATAAATTTATTAAGAAAAAGTGATGTTCGCGCCTGTATCTGCGGGAAGAGGGACCGGGGATCCAGAATTTGGTTCCATTGGAGCCTTTCTGGGACCCAATTCGGTCTCTGAACAGACGGGGGCGCTCTCGGAGCAGAAGGGAAAGGACGGGGATGGAGCAGGCCCCACACTTGTGCCCTAGCAGTTCAGTGGTACAAGGAAGACGAACCCTGAGACTTGGGAGGCCGCGGAGAAGCCTCAAACTAGAGTGCAGGCATTGGCACGCCAGGCTGTGCCGGAGAGGGGAACTGCCCCTCGAGAGCAAGGCACCCAAGAAGCCCTGTTGACAAACACTGTTCCCGTTGCCCGGCGGCCCTAGCTCCCGTAGGCCCTGACTGTTGCTAACATCAAAGAGCTGTTTATAGAGCCACCTCCCCACGGATTGGCCTCCGAGTGTCTCTCCCTCCAGCCAAGGCTCATGGGGCCCTCCCTCCAGGGTTCTCCCGGCAGGCCTGGGAAGCTGGAGCTGGGGAATGCTAGCTAGCTCCCGGGTTCCGCTTTTCGCTCTCTTGACCCTGGGGAAGGCAGCGCCGCGTACTGCAACTAACTCTGATTAGGCAACGAACCGGTTAACCTGTTCCACCGAGCGGACTCTGGCAGTGGCTGTACGTCACTGCCAGTCCGGCGTTTTCATTGGTGGATGTATCCAGAGCTGGCCAATCCAGAACCTGCCTTCCAGGACCCACCAATCCTGACGCGGTAAAGCGAAGCGCCGCTGCGGGCCGCCAGAATGGAGTGGACGGAGAGTCGGAGGGACCCTAAAAGTTAGGGGCGGGGATCCCACACTTGAACCTGCTCACCAGCTAAGCCTGGGAAAACCGTGTGCTGCCGAATACTGGGCCCCCCTCGGAGGGGTTGAGCTGGGGAGATAGCGTGGGCGTGGGCCTTATCTGCACACTGACAGGAGACACTGGTGCTAGGGCCTCTCTATCACTCATTTTCTCTGGTTCCCCCTATCTCGTGGGTAAGTCCTGGCCTCTGAACGAAGACCTGACTCTTCCACCAGCACGTACAGGCGCGCCCTGCCTTAGATGCTCACAAATCAGTAAGTGCCCAGAGGTGGGGGTACGGGACCAGTGGGGGTATCTGCAGTGGTAAAACAGGGTGCCTCCAGTTCTGCCCGGTTTCTCCACCTTTCCCCTAGGCCTTACAATGGGCCGGACTGTGATCGTGCTTGGTGGAGGTATCAGTGGATTGGCCGCAAGTTATCATCTGATCCGAGGCCCCTGTCCTCCTAAAGTGAGTCCCCACTAGAACCGGAGAGAGACTCTTTTGATACTCAACATTTCCAGCAAAAACTGGATAGATTTTGTCCCGTGGAATGTGCAGCCCACCCCCCATCCCCAGTCCCTTTTCCCTGCACCCACAGTGTCTCCCTTTTGGTGCCAGGTGATCTTACTGGAGGGCAGCAAGCGTTTGGGAGGCTGGATCCGCTCGGTCCGAGGATCAGATGGTGCGATCTTTGAACTTGGACCTCGAGGAATTAGGCCGGCTGGAGTGCTGGGAGCCCGAACTCTGCTCCTGGTGAGCATCTTGTGGACTGTATAGGACAGGTAGTGGAGGAGAGTCTTCCAAAGGGATAGAGTTGCAGAGGGGAAAGACATTCGTGGGGCCAGTTTTTCCTTAGTGTCTCCTCTTCCTGAGGGCTTCCTGAGAACAGGTTTCTGAGCTTGGCTTGGAGTCGGAAGTCTTGCCTGTCCGAGGGAATCACCCAGCTGCCCAGAACAGGTTCCTGTATGTCGGTGGTGCTCTGCACCCCCTACCCTCTGGCCTCAGGTAACAGCTCATCTCCCAACTGTACACCCCTTCCATTTGTTCCCTGTCAGCCTTTCCGGCCACAGGGATTAAATGAATGAAAATAACCCCCAGGAGCTGGGAAGGAGCTTTCTTTTCACCATGACTTCCTCCATGCAGGGGGCTACTCCGTCCTTCACCCCCCTTCTCCAAAGCTCTGTTTTGGGCTGGGCTGAGGGATTTGATGAAGCCCAGGGGCAAAGAGCCTGATGAGACTGTGCACAGTTTTGCCCAGCGCCGCCTTGGACCTGAGGTGACACTGCTCAGAGGGGGTCTCAAACCTCTCCCTTCCTAAATCAGCTGCCGCGTCTAGGGATGTCCTCTTTCTGTTGTTGGAATCTCCAAATCTCAGTCCCGGGAATAAATGCCTTTTTTCCTTCCCATCCTTGTGTTACAATGGGAACACCCCCCAACACAAACTCTCTCCTTCCCTCTTCCCTCCCAAGCAGGGGCAATGAAAATCAGTCAGGGTGGCTTATTCCTTGGCCCCTCAGACCCAGTCTTATCCTTAAGGTGGCCTCTTTAGCCATGGACAGTCTTTGCCGAGGAGTGTTTGCAGGCAACAGCCGTGAACTCAGTGTCCGCTCCTGCTTTCCCAGTCTCTTCCAAGCTGAGCAAACCCACCGGTCCATATTACTGGGGCTGCTGCTGGGGGCAGGTGAGGGAGCGGTCATTGGTTCAAAGGGTGAAATATAAAGCCTGACAAAGTGAGGCACTTCATACAAGGGGTACTATTTTTGATAGTATATGTTTTGCCTCCTTTTAGGACGGAGTCCACAGCCAGATTCCTCATTAATTCGTCAGGCCCGGGCCGAGCGATGGAGCCAGTGGTCACTCCGTGGAGGGCTGGAGATGTTGCCCCAAGCCCTTCACAACCACCTAATTAGTAAAGGAGTCACTGTCTTCAAAGGTCAGCCAGTCTGTGGGCTCAGCCTCCAGCCAGAAGGGCGATGGAAGGTAGGAGAACCCTCTGGAGTGTAATAAGTCTGTATCGGCGTTACTGGTTTTGTTGTTGCTGATGTTATTTTGAATATTGCACAAATATATTTAGCAAAAAGTCTCATATGAAAATGTACATGACCCAATTTTATACCATAGGAAAACAGGCCCTCTGGGGAGGGATGTGGACTTCTCTGCTGAACATTCCTTTCTTTAAACTTGGTCCAAGACTTTAAAACATGATGGTACTGTTTCCCCATATGATTACCATTCTAATATTCTGGTGCCTACTAGTTGCCATCTCTACGTACCTATCAGTCACAAAATTCATAAAGGCACCAAAGCCCTGCAGTATTCCTTGGACATATCTGCCACCTTTTAATGTCTATGATAACTTCTTGTCCATAAATTTCTTCTGCTGTGGAGTGAGCGGGGAACTGAAGAAATAGCTCAACATTTAAGAGCACATACTGCCTTTGAAGAAGACCTGGGTTCAGTTCTCAGAACCCACATCAGGTGGCTCATAACTGCCTGTAATTCCAGCTCAGGGGCTCAGGCAACCTCTACTGGACTCCACAGGCACCTGCACTCATGTGCACACACACACCCTGTGTCACGATCTTTGAGTGGTTTGACCAGGTCAGGGCTGATAGCACTGGACTTACTGTTTTCTTGCCTTAGAGAAGCTATTTAGATATTGGCTACCTCAGGTTCCTAGGCTTTATTTGTGAGCCTTCCTCAAAAAGCCCTTAGGTATGTGAATAGTAGCGCTTGTGAGTGTCTGGGGACAGGGAAAAGACAACCCACCTTCATTGAACATTTCAGAGCAGCCGCACTGGCCTCCTTCTGGATTATACAGAGGATTTTTGTTGTTCAGATGGCACTGTCATTCATATTCTTTATCTTGGGTCAGCATACAGACTTTCCTGTTTCTTGGGTACCTGGGAAACTAAGAGTGAGGCTGCAAATCTCACTTACCTATAAAGTCTTCATAACACCCTCTCTCTCAAATGTTATCACTCAGGTGTTTCTAGGGGACAGCAGTCTGGAGGCTGACCACATTATTAGTGCCATTCCAGCTGCAGGTAATGGAAGAGTCCCTCCCTTTCCCTAACCATCAAGAAGCAATGCCTTCCTATGCCAGCAGGGCCACATTGGGTTCCTGAACTGGTCATCCCTGAGGGATTCCTATAGACAAAGCTAGCCTAGTATGAATGCCTCTGCCTGGTCCCCAGTGCTCAGCAAGCTGCTCCCTGCTGAGGCTACACCTCTCGCTCATGTCCTGAGTACCATCACTGCTGTGTCTGTCGCCGTGGTGAATCTGCAGTACCAAGGAGCTTGTCTGCCGGTTCAGGTATGAGAAGGAGGAGGAGGAGGAGAAGGAGGGGAGACAGAGGCTCAGTGAGAGCCCTTCCCTCCTGATTCATAGGCATCTTCCTCTCCAGGGATTTGGACATTTGGTGCCATCATCAGAAGACCCAACTGTCCTGGGAATCGTGTATGACTCAGTTGCTTTTCCTGAGCAGGATGGGAACCCTCCACGCCTCAGAGTAACTGTGAGAGAAGCAAACTTGGCTTATGGTGGGGTTTCCTCTGTGCCCTAGCGTAGGCAAGTGCAGGATGGTCAATGCTGTGTTTCCTCACAGGTGATGCTGGGAGGCTACTGGTTAGAGAGACTAGAAGCTGATGGCCATGACCTGTCTCCAGAGCTGTTCCAAGAGCAAGCACAGGCAGCAGCTGCTACGCACTTAGGACTGAGGGAGCGGCCGAGTTACTGCTTGGTCCATTTACACAAGGTGAGCTGAGATAAACTCTTATTAGTTCCCTGTTGAAAGCAAGGACTGACGTGCTTATCAGAAGGTCAGCCAAGGCCTTGGAAACCAGCAATGAACTTTCCCTTATATCATTAGTTCCCCGTTTAAAGCAAGGACTAACATGCTTATCAGTAGGTCAGCCAAGGCCTTGGAAACCAGCAATGAACTTTCCCTTATACCTTATCTCTCCCTAGAACTGCATCCCTCAGTATACACTAGGCCACTGGCAAAAACTAGGTAAGCTGGGGAAGCGGCTGGGCTGAGGAAGTCAGACCCCAGCTATATAGCATTCCTGTCATCCTTCCTTACCTTTCAGAGTCAGCTCTGCGTTTCCTGACTGCTCAAAGGCTGCCCCTGACTTTGGCTGGAGCTTCCTATGAGGGGGTCGCTGTCAATGACTGTATAGAGAGTGGGCGCCAGGCAGCACTGGCTGTCCTGGGCACGGAATCTAACAGCTGATCCCCCCTCTCCCGCTCATGAAAATAAAACTTGCTGGAATTTGGTCTTGCTGTTCTGTCAACCTCCAGGCTTGTTGGGGCTGGGGTGGGGTTGCGGGGGGGAGGATAAAGTGGTCTGGAATACAGAAAGCATCAGCAAAGGTGAGACTAAGTCCTTTATTAGAAAAGGTATCAAAATCCCAGCCCCCTGGGCCAAGACCAGAGGAGCTACTCCAGCACTGGCAGGAAATGCCCTGGTAGGGGCTTCCTCCACCAGAACAGCTTCTTGGGAACCATAAATAGAATAAATATTCACAGAGGTCCCAGGAGAAGCCAGGTCACTCTTGGAAAGGAGTGATGTCCATGGACCAGGAAGGGGCTTGGGGTCCAGCCCTGCTCCTACCCCGGGGGCCGGGGACTCCTAGGATTCGTCACATAAAACGACATCAAGGATTCACAGTCATAAGCCCTGACAGGTGGCCCCTAGAAAGAGGAACCTCCAGGTCTAGAGGAGCCCAGCTCCAGTCTAGCAGTGAGGAGAGGTCCCTGCCCCCCAGTACAGCACTAGGGTTTAGTTCCCTCACATCCCTCCGAAAGCAGTGAGGAGCAGAGGGCGTGGGGAATACGACCCCTCTGATTCGGTTTCATGATTAAAGTGGACAGAGAAGGATCAGTGTGAACCGTGGGGAGCTGTGTGGTTGGCAGTAGGCGGAGGGCCAGGCCTGGCCGGGGGTCGGCGATGCAGCATCTCTTGTCGGAAGGCCTGGGAGGAGCCCGGTGGGTATCGGGGACCAGAGGGAGCCCGAGGACCTCGAGGGTCAGTCCCAATGTCTGCAGTGATGTTGGTATAGAGAGGACCCAGCTCTCTAGCCAGCAACTGGTATGTCAGTGAATTCATTCCATCTTGTGTCCAAGAATTCTGGGTACGGACCAGGAGGTCAAATCTGAGGGTTAAAGGTTTAAGACTAAGATCTAAAAGGAACAATCTGGGACTTTAGGGGCATTTAGGAGTTTCCTGAAGAGAGGAAAACTGGGACCCCCCCCCAAACCCATTCCCTTCCTACCTGTGGGGGTTTTCCTCATTGCCTTTATCCCCTCTGTGCTTCACCATCTTATAGTGCCCCACAGAGGTCGGGGGTCGGGAGATCTTCATCCCAGCCAGGCGTACCCTATGAGAAAAGGAAAGGAGTCTTGGAGGAGCTAGAATGGAAAAAAAGTTGCTGGCAGGTAAATGAGAAAAGTAAAGACCATCAAGGAAGCGATGCCATCTGCCTGGCAAGAACCGAAAGATCAAATAAATCAAAACTGCCAAGTATGAGAAGGCCGGAGGAAATCAAATAGAAGAAGGTGAGTTGTCAGGCAAATCTAAGTCCGCAGGGCCTAATGCCAGGAGCCCTGGGGCCTTACAAGAACTGGCAGAGGTAGATAGGTCACTTTCAGACCTCCTTTTTAAATGGCTCCTGGCAGTTGCCCTTGAAGTCTTGGGAGGACAGAGAAAGGGGCCATTTTGTCTAAAGCATAGAAATGGCAGACCCAAACTCAGCCATCTCTGCCCTCTTCCCCTTTGGGCATTGAAAGTGGGGCTTACATATGCGAGACACACACGTGACCACCGAGCTGCACCCCCTAGGCCAGCAAGTCTTACTTAGAAATAGTGTCTAAACTCCCCGACTCCTTTCTACCTGCTGCCATGTGTAAAAGAGAAGAGCAGAAGCAGACAGGTGACCAGGACCTTAAAGAAGCCCCAATCTGGGCTGGAGAGATGGCTCAGCGGTTAAGAGCACCGGCTGCTCTTCCAGAGGACCTGAGTTCAATTCGCAGCAACCACATGGTGGCTCACAACCATCTATAATGAGATCTGGTGCCCTCTTCTGGCAGGGAATACTGTATACATAATAAATAAATAAATTAAAAAAAAAAAAAAAAGAAGCCCCAATCTGAAACACAGAAGCAAGAGGGGGAGGTACTCTGACAAAGAACTGAAAAAATACATCTAGAATTATTTTCAGGGTGTAAAACACACACACACACACACAGATGAGACTTCACATAAAGATGTCATTACAGGGGACATAAGGGGAGGCAATGGATCCAGCATGCCAAGCTCAAATACACTGCACACGAAACTGGTTCACTGGAGGCTAAAGGTAAGAAAGTTTCACATGCTAAGAAATGAGGTGGCATTATGTCAGTCAGCCCCCCCCCACACACCTTTATTTCCTTTAAAAAAAAAGAAAAAAGTGATTCTGGGCTATATGGAGCAGAATTCCTCTCCCCCATTCTCACAGAAGTAGTCTCCACGTAAGCCTATCAGAATGCAGAACTAACCTGTCTTTAGGCCCCTTCCTGAGATCTAGAATTCCGTATTTCCAGGTGATTTTACCTCTTTTCCCAAGAATATAACCAACCAGGTCTATCTAGAAAATGGAAATTTGACAGAATGGGCAGCAGTGGGCAAAGCCTGTCCTGAGCAGACTAAGGTCAACGGGAAGGAATGGGCTCAGTGCAGAACCAGGAAGTTAAAGATTTGTGTCGAAAGACTGTGGCCAGGGTTTGGGAAAGAGGTGTGGCAAGAAGTCTGACCTGGTGGCGATGTCATCATCCTCACCACCCCAGCCCCAATATTCATTGGGGAAGCCATTCATCTTCAGGTACTGGTCAGGAGTGAGGGCCGAAACCCCACCGAAGTACTGGGGGTACGGGAGGCTAAGGAGAAAAAGATCCTTGTAGTTCACAAATTTGGAGCATCAACCCTACCCACAATCCCCTTAGCTCTCATCCTCCTGCAAGGTTGGTCTCCCTGCTTTCTAGTACCCTTCTATGCCCTCTACCTGTATCCAAACTTGTTCATGGCAACAGCAACATGGCGAGGTCCCCGGGGGTCGCACACATACAGGTTATGATCATTTTCTGGAAGGAGGTCCACATCATGTAAGAACAAGCAGTCCCATTCTTCATCACGCAGGGCTTCCCGCACCCCAACATTCAGGAGCTTGGCTCTGTTAAACGTTCCATTTCCAGCCTAGAAGGTAACAAAGGGGACCAGGCTACGCACGGAGAAAGTAGGCAGCATGCATGCTGAAGGAAAAAGAGGACCATCGAAGTGGCATATGGGGCCGGCCCAGAGAAGGGAGAACAAGATAAACAGCTGAGCACATTGGTACCTGACTGTAATTCTAGCACTCAGGAGACTGAGGCAGGAAGATCTTGAGTAGACTATAAACAAAACAGGGGCTAGAGATGGGGCTCAGTCGGTAGAAGCTTATCCAGCAATCATTAAGGCCTGGGCACAGTCCCCAGCACCACACAAAACCAAGTATGGTAGCATGTGCCTATAATCCCAGCAGTGGGAAGGTGGATGCAGGAGGAGCCGAAGTTAAAGGCCATCCTCAGCTACATAGTAAATTCTAAGGCCAGCCTGGGCTACATGAGACCCTATCTCAAAAAATAAAACAAGCCGGGCGGTGGTGGCGCACGCCTTTAATCCCAGCACTCGGGAGGCAGAGCCAGGCGGATCTCTGTGAATTCGAGGCCAGCCTGGTCTCCAAAGCAAGTTCCAGGAAAGGCGCAAAGCTACACAGAGAAACCCTGTCTCGGAAAAAAAAAAAAAAAAAAAAAAAAAAAAAACCAAATACATATTTGTTTTGCACATACATATATGCAGGCAAAATACACATAAATAAATTAGTACAGTTTTAAAAAAAATTGCAGAACTAGTATTTTAGCTCATCCTTGGCCAATTCCAAATTTGCATAAGCCACAACAAAAGAAAAATCATAGAAAAATATAGGAGAGTAGGAATACCCTACCAAAATAGGGAAACAGACCTAACAGAATAAGCATGGAAGTAACAAAGCTGAAGAGCAAGGCTTCTCCATTATCTATTGTCTGATCCTCTTAACAATTATCCCACAGACCCACGAGATGAGAGAAGAGGCATTTATTTGAGGCTTCCTTAACATCAAAGAAAGAGTAAGGAGCTGGGCAGTGGTGGCTCACATCTTTTTTTTTTTTTTTTTTTTTTTTTTTGGTTTTTCGAGACAGGGTTTCTCTGTGTAGCTTTGCGCCTTTCCTGGAACTCGCTTTGGAGACCAGGCTGGCCTCGAACTCACAGAGATCCGCCTGGCTCTGCCTCCCGAGTGCTGGGATTAAAGGCGTGCGCCACCACCGCCCGGCGGTGGCTCACATCTTTAATCCCAGTACGTGGGGGGCAGAGGCAGGTGGATTTCTGTGAATGTGAGGCCAGCGTGGTCTACAGAGTGAATTCCAGGAAAGCCAGAGAAACCCTGTCTCAAACAAAACAAAACAAAACAAAAGCAAGACTAAGCTGTAAAGTGGGGTTGTTACCTGGTGGATGACATAGATGCCATATGCAAGCTGCTGGCGCTGTAGGAAGGGGTGCAGGTGATAGAGCAGCAGCCGCAGGTGGTGCTCCCTGGCACGATGGGGCACAATTATGGCCGTCCGGGAACGTGGCTCACATTCTGCAGGACGGTACCGGCCCCCTGGTTCCACCCGGGGATTCCGCTCCACAATCTCTGCTAGTGATGGCACTGGGCTAAACGATACTGACACAGGACCCACTGTTGGTAGGAAATGGCAAGTTCAGCAATCGGAGGCACAAGGAGAAAATGGGTATCAGAATCTGAGAACACCTCTGGCCAAAAAGCCTGATTCTGGGCTCACTTCCCCAAGGGCTCACTCATCAATCTACCAAGCCTTGGATTTCCCTCATTAAGCCAGCTCCACAAAGCCTAAAGCCGCAGGCAGGCTCCTTACCTTAAACTACTTACTTTCTTATTTTAGGGTTCTAGATAACTCTCTCTTGTCCCACACTGAAGCTACAGGAGAAGAGCACAAGGACTTCTACCTAATAAAGCCAAGACTCATCTACAAGAGAAGTTATTCCTACCCTGGGGCATGAAGAGCTAGCTCATAAAACGGGCAGGCGGTGGAAAGCTTGTGACCCAAGAGCCTAATCTGCCCTCTGAATTCACAGGCCACTCTCTCAACATCAGCCCACCTTAGAGCGCATTAATCTAAGTCTCAATTCATGCCAACCCAAG